GAAACTGCTCTTGGTTGAGAGTGGTTTGGAGTTCCCAAGCATAGGAATGCACGGCAGGGCAGAGATCAGCTACCGCGCCTAGAGGGACAACCCCCGGGGCCACACTTCTCATGCAGGGCTGGAAATAGTCTCCTGTGTAGGAGTGTCTCATCATGAATGATTCGGAGACCCCGTTGACCATTACTCTCCAGCCCGCTTCGGTCCATTCGGAGTTAAGGATGAGCTCGGTCGAGCGATATTCGGGGAAGTTGCAAGTGCGCAGAGGCTGCCCAAGGTGCCTGGCATCCCAGACGATCTCAACCCCAGGCTGTTCCCTCAGGATCCAGATAATTTCCTGAAAGAAGCCCATTCGTAGCGGTTGCGCACGAGCAACAACAAGTGTGAACTCTGCTGGGAGAGGTCTCCTTGCATTGTGACGCTGTAGCAGCGCGTAGAGACGCAGATCGATAGCTGCATACGAAGCTGGGACATCTTCTGAAAAGACCTCAGTACCTCTTAGAACAGTCAGCCTGAGGGAGGCAGGGAGAGCCTGCAGTGTAGCAACTCTCGCGCCGGTGCCCACGGGCCGTTGGCGCACAGCGCCTGGTAGCCCTTGCGTCAGCAGCCCAGCCTGCATCATATTGGGAGTGGGCTGAAGGGCAATATGTTGTATCTGCTGTAGGTCTGCCGGCAGAAAGGGAGGCAGAGCACCTGAGGCATCCGTCGCGGAGAGGGTGCCTGCTTCGAACTCTTCCAGGAGATTTCTGGGAGCACGGATGAGCCGGTTGACGGCATTGATGGCTGAGGCGCGCTCTTGTCCTGCCGTTTGCCTGACTGTATAGATTGCCTCTCCTATTGCTCTGGCATCCCAGACAACTGGGAATTCGTTGGGTGGTTGAGCAGTGGCTTGCAGAACAAACTGCGGGCAAGGAAGCCCAGGCACTGGCACAGTCAAGATCTGCAGGCTTCCAATAGCAAAGGGGGCACTGCTGATGGCTACGGCAATGGCCTCATGGAGAGAGGCGTGCTCCGGCACTCGCACCGTGGTGTGGTGCCGCACTCGGTCGAAGACCGTTATGAAGCCAGGTCTAGCACTGTCGCGGCCAGCCCAACGGAAGAGACCTAGCTGGCCGTCGAAAATGGGTGTGGCTCTGGCAGACTCTGGAAAAACATGCACGTGCATTGCCCTTATCATTGCAATATTTCCAGGCCTGGCAGGAGCAGCCGGCCTCCTTGCAGGAGGCGGGGTTCTGACATCACGGTCATTGCCTTCAGGAGGGTCCCGAGGAGGGACAGGCATTGCAGCCTTGCGATTCACAGAGACCATGCAGAGAGGCTGTGCATGGGCATAGGCATCGTCGGGAAAGGTGCAGTCATACTGTACAGCAGTCTTCAGGGGCATGGCATGCCGCTGCGTACTGCCAAGGCTCGACAGGGAACCGACCTTGAAGCAGTGAGTGGGTGCCTGAGTTGGTGCAGCACAACTCGGGAGGAAGCCGGCAGGCAGATGAGAAACCTCCGAACTCGGAGGCGGCAGGGGTGTCGCTGCACGCCATGCTGAACAAACCTCCGACGGAACGGAGGGGGGGCAGAGAGAAGGCAGTGGAGGCAGGGCAACAGCCAAGGCTCGACAGAAACCGTCCTTGTAACTGTTGTGAGCTCTCCAACTGGCAGGTGGAACAAAGGCCCTCACATGCGGAGAGGGACGCAGGCGGCTGCAGAGACGAGAGAGGTCCCTGGCCCAGCGGTTGAAAAAGGCAGCAGGGGGAAATGAGGAGGAGGAAACTTGGGCTTGCAGCGAGACAGGGTGCTTATATACATGTAAAGCAGACAGCCTACCCTCGGCAAGAAAAGCATCTCTCACTGGCGCAAGCTCCTGGAGACTATGACGTGTGCCTGCCAAAGGGTCTCCGGCAACCGAGCCTACCGCGTCTGCCTCAATCACAGGTCCACCCATGCACACTGTGAGAAGCTGGAAGGAAGGCTCAGGAAGCTCCGACACTCTGGTAGACACGTCGCCACATCCCCAAGAGCTCGCAATTTCGTGGCCTGGGCATTGGCTTCGCAGATCCGTGGCGAAGACCATCCTTTCATCGAGATCATACTGCCCTAGCTCAACCTCAAAGTGTAGGTTGAGCGCCAGTACGCGTGCCCACCATGGCGACACGTAATCATCATCACTGACAACGGAGTGCGGGATCCGCTGCAGGAGGCCACTAGGCCCACTAAGCTCCGTTAGGCAACTTAGTGGGCCCCACCAGGGGGCAAGGCGGCGTCGTGTTTTTGCTCCTGGCCACCACCTGTGTCGCCAGCTTTGTCCGGTGGCGGTTTGCCAGCCGTGCCGAAGCCGGCATTCTCCTTGGGCTGTCTGCGCGGTGTCCTGCTGCCTTCGCGATGCTGCGCATTGTCCGCGGCTGCGGCTGCTGCTTCGTCTTTGGCTTGCTGTAGCACGGCCAGTACTCTGGTGTGCTGCTGCTGGATCTGGCTCTGGGCTGCTTGGTTTTTGGCCCGGACTTCTGCCTCCACCTCGATAGCCCGGTCGACCATGAGCTCGGCTTCGTCCTCGTCCATGTCGTCGTTGATAATCGTCGCTCCTTTGTGGTCGGTGCTGCTGCCCTCCGATGCAGCCTTGGCCAATGCTTGAGCCGCATTGGCGAGCCGAACTGACAGATCTTCCTCTGCAGCAGCGAAGCCAGCCATGGCTTCCATCCTCGACTCGCTCTGTTTGGCCCATAGCTCGAGGAGTCCCACAACGTAGGTGTCCCAGGCAGCGGTGTACGCCGCCCTGTCTGTTCTCAACTTGTCTAGCTCCTTCTGCAACGCCGTTTTTTCCGACACAAGGCGATGCATCTGCTTTCCATGCTGATGCACATCTACCTGTGTCACCTGACCCAATCGTCTCTTGAGATCCGGTGAGAGCTGATCGGTGTTGATGACCGCCATGAGCTCGGTAAGAAGCTTTCTGTCTTCCGGTTGCGTACCAGTCCCCGCAGGCTGGGCGGAAACTGCTGCTGCTGGTGGCGCAGCAGCAGGTATATTGGCAGTAGGAGCTGTAGGCAGAGCTTGCAGGGTAGGCGCAACAGGCCCCGTAGCTGCTGGTTTGCCTTTGGCCGGCGTAGGCGGTTTGCCCTTCTTGCCTTTGCCTTGTGGGGCTCCTTGGCCCTTTCCTCTGCTTCTGGGCGAGCCCGGCCTCCATGGTGCTCCACCTCGGCTCCTCGGGGAGGGCCGTCGCTCCCAACTTCCCGGTCCCCATGGGGTCGCTTCGGAGTGAGCAGTGTAGGCATCCCACGTGCTGCTCGACCCATAGTCCGGGGCGTGTTGCCACGGTCGCCCACATTGTCCACAGTAGGCGGCCGTAGCTTTGACCTTTTGGCCGCACTGGCAGACCCATGGCTGCTTGGTAGTCATGTCTGCCGTATCTGCCGTAAGCAGTCTGTAGGCCTTGGCGGGCAGAGTCGAGGCTGAGTGATGTACACTCAGGCGATCTGCCGCTTTGCGAACCTCGGGAATGGGGATCTCCGCCCCACTGGTAAAGGCTCGCAGCAATGTCCGATCTCTCGTCCGAGTACGCCGAAGTCGACGATGCCAAGCCGGTTCCACGGCCTGCTTCAGCTTCGGCGACGTCGCGCCTGGTCAGTCCCACACTGATCCACAGAAGGAAAGCCCAGCGCATCAAAATTGCAAAGAGATATTGAAGGTCCAGCAGGGAGCCACCCCTGAAGAAAGGGCAATAGACACACGGCGGGCGGTCGGCCAGATAAGGCAGCGAACGTCCGCAGTGTATGGACCAGTGTAGAAAGGTTGAAACTCCAGCTGCAATGCAGGGAGTAACTGGCAGAGCCTCGCGAGGCGTACAGCTCCTCCAGAGAACGGCAAACCAAAGCCCTGTCGGGTCGCAATGGAAATGTCGCGGTCGCGCGGGTCAATAGACCACGCTAGGCTTGGCCGCAGGGCTGGACCACTAAGGGAAACTACAGCCTGGGCCAAACGCTTGGGCTTTGGGGATTAGGGTTTAGGGGCTTTGGGGTTTAGGGTTTGGGGATTTAGGGGCTTTGGGGTTTAGGTTTAGGGTATAGGGAAACCCTAAACCCTGAACTAAATCCCAAGCCCTGAAACTTGCTGTTAAGCCGACTTCTACGCCAAGGGCTCATTATTGAGCCTGCTGCATGTTTTGAAAATCAGTCTCTGGTGGTCATAGGAGGCCAAAAGGGGTTTTAGCCTATGGGGTTTAGTGGGGATTAGAGTTCCCATAATAGGGATTCCTCAATATGAACCCCAAGAATCTCAAACCCCCCTTTTGGCCTCCCCCTCAGGTGGGTTTGGGGTTTAGATCTTCGGGCTCCGGGTTGCCATTCATCGATCTGCTCCCTGCAGATTAATCTTCGGGGCCATAATAATGATTAATAGTTAGAATAGGGTTCCTTTTTAAGGGGTCTATAAGGGATCTATAAGAGGGCTCTACACTATAGGGGCCTTTTTCGTTAGAATATGGTTTTGGGGCACAGTATACTATAACCATTTCAACGAACCCCCCCCCAAAAATTCTTTATGCTACAACTAGAAGAAGGAGCTCCCGATCTGACGTCGAAATCTTTAGGTCCGTAGCTCCGACGGCGGCTGCTCCGCAGCAGAGGGTTTAGGATTCTCAGAACCGTTTCTTTCGGGGATGTCAGCGCGATGTCTGAAGACGTGAAGGAGGCTTACTACTGGGGAAGGATCCAGATAGAGTCTTTATGATGGTCATGATCGTATAGTGCCTAAACCCAGAAACTATAAGTTGTAATCTTGAGAAGCACGAAGGCTTGAAAGCTAGGCATTCAGGGGCTAGTAGTTAGCACAGCATCTAGGGTTTCGGGGCTGGGGTTGCGAGTTTAGGGCGTGTCCACACCCTCAGCCCTAAGCCCTACACCCTTAACCCCAAACCCTTAACCCCTACCTTAACCCCAAATAACCTACCATTTTAGGGACTTTTGTAAAGAAATCATATTAGGGGGCCCTAAAAGGGTCCCTAAACTGCGAAGGCCCGGATCTATCGGCTGGAGAATGCCAAGGACGAAGCGGAGAAAGCGACGTGGCTCTGCTCAACTTTCCAGCCGGAAGATCCTACATTCGACAGCCCAGGGACCCCCGGCCCCTGATGCCAAGCCCCAAGCCTCCGGTTTCAATGAACCCCTAACCCCTGACCCTGAGCCCCGAAGCCCTAACCCCTAACTCCTAAAGCTAGCACCGGGACGCTTGAACCCTAACTTTCTCAGTTTTCGTGCAAGTTCCACTCCAAAACACGGCCCTCAACACTGTAACGCAGTCATATCCCTCCCATAGAAAGGCAAGACTATCTCGTGGTCGAGGCGAAGTTAGCGAACTTCCGCCTGAGCCCTGGGCTCTATAGGGTTTCACGGCTGGGCGGGACCACAGCAAACCTACTGGTACGCACATCTTGGTTGAGAACTACTCGCAACTACATTTCTTCAGGTCCACCCATCTCTCCATCCCATGAGTTCAAGATCAAAAACGGTACTCTCTGTCTGCCTCGTGTACAGGTGCTTTCAATGCTGTGGTCTGCACTGTTACATACTTTCGATGTGTCCGATCGCGGGCCCCCTTCTTCTCACGTGGAATGGGCACAAGACGCATGTTCGGCATCCGCCCCAGAGCTTCCATGGCCCTACCATGATGACGTCCGTGGGGCCGGTGCATCCGATTTCGTCCCAGCAGGAGTGGCTTTTCAATGCTGAAGCCTGTGACGTAAGCACTTCTGATCAATTTTGCTGTTGGGGCCATGCTTTGCGGTGGGTTCCTTATGGCTCCACCAGGTTTTAGGGCTGGGAGTTTAGGGTTAGGGTTTTAGGGCTTACGGTTATCCCGTTAAGCCCAGCTCCGCGAATGCAGCGTTGTTTTGTCTGGGGGGTTTTGAGGGTGTTGAGTCAATGAGTTTCGGATGTCAAGTGGTCTTCAAGAAACTTACAGGGTTTTAGGGTCCTACGTTTACAGGAAGTTTCATAGGGGCTCGTCAGCGGCTTGGACTGGAGTTGAGGGTTGCAGTCTGGGTGGAGTTTCAGGGGGTTTGAGGCTTGAGGCTTTCAGACTTTGGGGCGCTTGCCCCACACAGGATCTTGACCGCGATGCCTGGACAGGCTTCAGGGTATCAGCTCTAGGCTTCAGGGCTTCAGGGCTTTGGGTGTAGGGTTTCGAGTGTAGAAATGCCGAGCCTCAAAGCCGAAATCCTGAACCTCAAAGTTTAAACCCTAAACCCTAAACCCTAAACCCTGAAACCCGCCACGTTAGACCTAAACCCCCTTGACCTGAAGAAGCCCCAAGGCCCCTCGTGCCCTGAGCCGTACTTCTCCGGCTTCATTCAGGTCGAGCTCCTCTTCACATGCCTAGATTCAGCACCTTAGATCCACCTCTTAGGCAGTTTAGGGGTTTAGGGTTTCGGGTCATGGCCTAGGCCTACTGGTTTACGGGTTTTGAGGTCCGCCCTGGCGATGCCCAGGTGGCCAAACGAGCGACAAGTCACGGGCGTGCTTGATGGGCATGGCCGAGGGCAGCTCCAAGGCAAGATAGGGAGCCTTGCTTCGTCTGCTTGGGGTTTAGGGTTTAGAGTTTGCAGTTTGGGGTGTAGGGTTTAGGGTTTAGGTTTAGGAGCCTTGAGAATCGTAATCGGAGTTTTGAGGATTTTTGGCATATTCTACTTTGCTTATATAGCCACTATACCTAACAACGGTCAGTCGGGCTAGTAATAGGGGTGGCGACAGATACTAATATTATGCTGACTCGAAGACCAGTCCCAGTTTTGGTTATCTCGGCCGAGACAGTCTCTTTCTTTACCCTTCTTACCTTTGGTTAGTAGGGAATGGAGGAATGGGGTACAATTATAACTACTATTACTACCATTCTTCCATTCCATACAACCAAAGGTAAGCCTTGCGAAAACCCATGGACAAACGGCTGTCAGTCAGCCCAAGACGTTAAGCTTCGGCGTGGTGCAGATGCTGCAGACTATTCACAACAGCCTAACCCACAGCGCTACATCCTAAACTCCAAACGCTAAACCCTGAGCCCTAGACGTTAAACGCTAAATCCTAAATACCCCAAAACCCTAAACCCTAAACCCTAAATACGCTAAACCCCGAAACCCCAAACCCTCAGCCAACCTGTACCCCTACCTTCACGGAGAGGGTTATTCTCTAAAGTCCGTAGCCCATCCGGCAGCACATGGCAACTTCAAACCGCTGTGGAGGATATTGCGCTTAGGCCCCACTAACCGACACCCGATGTTTCCTCAAGGTTCTAGGCTTGCTAGAAAAGGCGTGTAGAGAGTTTTTTGTGTTATGTTCCCATACAAAAGCTTGTAGAGGATTTCAAGCTTAAGGGGCTGGGGATTTAGCCCTACACCCCAATCCCTAAGCCCCTAAACCCTAAACCCTGAGCCCTACACCCTAATCCCTAAACCCTAAACCCTCGGCCTAGGCCGCCCGCCTTCGTGGGTGGGCGGCGCTTAAGCCCCTCGACCTCGATGGCGCAGAACGACCTAATACGCTCGCCGCCTCCAACGGTAACACCGGGCAGGGCTGCCCTGCCCTACACTGCCCTTGGCTTGGCCGCTTCATACGGCATGGGGTGAGAAAGAAATAAAGGGATTAGCCTGCTGTATACGGGCTTTCACAGCTCTTCTCGCAAGATAATATCACCTACGTGCTGTTCCACGGCAAACCCTAAACCCTAAGCCCTACATCCTAAACTCTAAGCCTTAAACCCCAAGCCCTAAGCTGCAGGCGACCTTGGCCAGCTGCTTCGCCAGTTGGCGTGGGACGACGGAGGAGGGCAAGGCCATCGAAACCTTGAACGTGTGGCTAGAATTTGCCATGATTTGAAGGTTTAGGGTTTAGGGGTGTGGCTCTAGTTTCCTAGGAGCTATGACACATGACCCTGTAACTTGGAGGTCGTACCCTGTCACTTTATGAGTTTTTGCGCGTACAAGAGAGGTCCTACTCCTCAAATAACATCCGTTACCGTTTGGAATATCGCCCAGGATCCTTTATCTGCACCCCGAAGCTTCAAGGGTTCAGGTACCTAGCAGGCATACACCCTCCCCAAACGCTAGCCTAGATATCGACTGTCCCGAAAGTATCTGCCTGAATGTTGGGTCCTTCGGACGGGCCTAGGATAACAGCCGAGCCGACATCTGAAATCGGCAGCTTCAACCCCATTTCGATTTGGGAGTTTCCGAAAATAGGGGTACCTTGTTTAGGGGTCCTTATAATAAGAGTCCTACTATTTGGGGTACTATATTGGGGTCCCTTATTTTCGGAAACTCCCATTTCGATTTGTGTAGGAGCGTTGAAGATTCGATCGGCACCCTGAACTGTCGAACCCAGAGCCCGCAGCCCCCGAACCTCAACCAGGAAGTCGGGGTCCTTTGAGCTAAGAGAGTTCTTACACGACCTGTAGAGCATGTATCCAAAACCCAAGACGAAGTGTTCAGGATGCGAGAGTCTTAGGGCTTCGGGGTCCTAGGATACCGCAGGCGACCAATACACAAAACGGTCGGTTATGGCACTTTGGGAATCGAGCATCTGCGAGCCCGAAAGCTCGGCGAAGTCGTCTATGGGCGACCCAGCCCTCTGAGGCTCGTCCTCAGGATGGAGGCTTCTCCACCGAATACGTAGAACAACGTCCGCCCCCGGAGAGAACGCCGCATACTTGTAAAGCCCCTATCCGACCCGGTAAAGCCCTCAATTAGAGACCCTTCCAAAGCTTCGTAAGACTTTCAGAGAACACCACTTTGGAGGTTCATGGGTAGCTACAAGTAGGGGTCTAAGTAGGGCAACTATATTTATAACCCATATCCCACTTGTAACTACCCCTGAACCTCCAAGCACACATCACCTACAAGACTAAAAAGGGGTGCCTTCGGAACCTGGAAGTGTTCAGCTTGCCATTATGGAGGTGAGAATGCAAGCAAGTCCTTGTTCCCATCCCCCAAAATCTTGCATGTTGCTGACGGCACAGAGCATCTCTCGATCATTCTGGACCCGGCATTGCAGGTGCAGCAGGACTTGCGGGATAAGTACGAGGCATGTCTGTGATGCTGCACCGCGCTGGGGTTGTAAAGCACGGTTCTTACCATGAAGACAATGTGGACTGCTTTCAGGATTTCTCGATCACCTCATTCTCTGTAACCCTCGAGCCTTAAGCTGTGAATCCTACGCCTTAGCCCAAGTCCCAAAACCGAAAGGAAGCCCACACTTTCCAGCGACAAGATGTCATAGGCACCCTCAGGGGGTAGGGGCAGGGGGTAGGGGACTATACTATACTTCCTCAATTGGGCCTTTATAAGGTCCTTATAGAATTAGGCCCCCTACTTTATGAATATGGGCCCGGAACACCGAACAATAGTAATTCTTGTCCTTGGGCCTCCGAGTTACGCCATGCAGCCTTTCGAAACCCTGGTCTAACATAGGGGCCTTATTAGTTACCTCTACTATTCCGTTTAAGGGTTCGTAAAAAGGGTCCTATTAGGGTTATTATAAGGGATATTATGGGGGGAAATAAACAAGGGATGTTGGGGGTTCCCAATTATGATTATAGAATAATGGGCCCCAGAACCCTATTCTGATGATTAAAGCCCCCAAAATTGGAGCCCTCCTATATAGATCCCGTATAGACCCCTTAAGCGGATCCCTATTCTAATTTGAATAGCCCCCTCTTTAAGTGTCACAGAAGCATCCAGGAGATTGAACGAAACGTTCCCGCAGCCATCTGCGCCAAGCCTCGAAAGCTGCGCGTCGTCCCACCCGACTTGCCGCCAACGCTCCTTGTCGGCAACAGCTATAGGCCTAAACCCGAAACTATTGTAAGCGCGCCATGAGAGTTTGGGGGCGCATTCTCCCAAAATCTCAGACGGATTGTCAAGAAAAATCGTAGCCTTAAGCCCTCGAGCCCGACTCTCCGAGCGATAACATCCAATCCCCGAGCCGCCAACCCTAGCCCTGGGTTTTGAGCCCCAAGTGGGAGTTTCCGAAATTAGGGACCCCAAAAGAGTACCCTAAATAGTAGGATCCTGATTATAAGGACCCCAAAATACGGCATCCCTAATTTTCGGAAACTCTCAAGTCCGGCGAAGGTGTCGTGGTCGATTCTTCGTCCTGGGAGTCGTCGTAGCCGAAAGAACTACATTGATGATCGCAGCATCAACAACAGTATCACGCAACGCGGTGAGAATCGCCATCAGTGAGAATCAACAAAGCAGTCACAATATCCGTGCCAACGCAGTTCACTAGCGACCATCACCCCCCCCACCGCAAACCCGACACCCTAAAACCCTGAGGCCTTAAACCCTACCCGCTAGAACCTCAAAATCTAAATTCAATTTCGAGATCCCTCAATAACAGAGGCCAAAGCCCTAGGCTCTACACTCTGAACCTCAAAATCTCAAGACCCAAACCCCTGCCCCTGGACCCCAAACCCTGAAGTGCCAAATGCCCTGAACCAAAGCCGGATGCTCTAAACCTTTAGAGCTCAAAGCATTGACCCTGCAAGCCCAAACAACACGAAGGAAGCCTTAAAACCCTAAAACCCTAAACCCTAACCCTGAGCCCTAGAGTTCCGAAACCCTAAAGAGGCTTAACCCCACAGCCCCAAAAGCCCTGCAAATCCTGAAGGGAGCCCTCATAGGAACCCAGAAACTCCAATATCCCTGAATGAGGGAATATACCTTAAATCATATTAGGGATCCTACCATAGTTTAAGGAATATTCCTGAGTTGAGGTATATTGGAGTCTCTGGGAACCCTTTTTAAAGGAGCGTCCAAGCGATTGTGGCGGAACACCCCCGGATCGATTTTGCTCCGTCCTTCGCTGAGGCGCCCGATCCATTCTCGAAGCAATGGGCGGTGTCTACAAGGAGGATGGGTTAGGGGTTTAGGGTTTAGAGGTACTTAACGAATCAATGGGCTCAATCAGCGGAGTTATAGGTGAGGCTAATCCAGGGATGCACTCTCAAGCTTGTAATCTCGGGTTCACCTTTCAGAGTGCAGATCAACCTGTCATGGCATATCCCAAACCGTCAACCCTACTTGGAGGTTCATGGGCAGTTATAAGTAGGGTTATAAGTAGGGTAACTATACTTATCACCCATATTAGGGGGCTTATAACCCTACTTATAACTTCCCCTGAACCTCCAAGTACATCGTTACACCCAGAGCCCCTCAAAGCCTTAACCCCAGAACCCGCCCCAAACACTAAACCCTCGACCCTACACCCCAAAGCCAAGAGGCCCAAAACCGCCAAAGCCGCAGAGACCCGGCTCTCGTTCTGAAGGATCTCTCCTCCCGCAAGAACTTCACGCAGCGTGCGACCTTTAGCAACAAGGACCCGGAGAAGAGTACAAAGCCTAACGCTACGCCGCGAAACCCCTAAGCCCTAAACCACTGAACTCACCATAGACCCCCAAACTCACCATAAAAACCCCTATCCCTAAGCCCCTGAACCCCTAAACCCTAAGCCCCTTCAGGAATCGAGGTTGTGAGGGCATGGCGTTGAAGAAGTTTAGGGTTTAGGGTTCAGGGGTTTCGGAGTTGGGGGGGGTTGGGCTTAGAAATTTCAAATTTGAGGATTTGCGTTTACAAAATTTTCAGGATTCAGGATTCAGGGCTCTAGGTTTGGGGATGTGGGTGCAGGGTTTGGAGGTGAGGGATTTTGGTCTAGGATTTGGGGTTGGGGCCATTTAGGGTCCCTCACAAACGCCTAAACCAACAAGACGAACCCCACGGACCCTCCTAAACCACGAACCCTGAACATCACATGCCCTCGCAGGCATCGCAGGCTCTCCGTTTTTGGCACCTGTCGGCGAGGCTCCTGCTAGTCTCTACGCCAGCTTAGAAACTAATTTACAGCTACGGCTACCTGACCTACCTAGAAGCTACGTGGCGATACACGCCAGCTAAAGCCTCTTTGGGCCTGGTGTAGCCGCGCCCCACAAGTGCCAGCAGGCATACGAAAGGCTCTAAGGCGGCGCACCCGACATGGGTGCGCAGAACAAACTGCCGCAGACCCCTCAGAACGGCAAGGCAAAAGACGAGAGGCCTGGCGCAAATTAATGCTAGCTGGCCGGGCCCAGGCAGGGCCACGGCAAAAGGGAAAAACCGGGCTAAAACAAAGCCGCGGTGGGGGATGCTGCAGGATCCGCGCTAACCCCGTTTTTCGTCTGCGTGCCTTTGGCACATAGTTTGTCGTGCGGTCGCTTCCACTGGATGCAAATGCAAACGCCCCAAACCCGAAACCTTAAACCCTAAACCCTAAACCCAAACCCGAAACCCTAAATCCCAGTCACAAAACCGCAGCATGATGCCTTAAGCCTTCAGCCCTGAACATCTGCACCAACCCACATGAAATCCGTATGAAAAACTTTGACTTTTATCCTTCTATCCCCCAAACCCTAAACCCTGTAAGTAGCGACGTGTAGAAGCCTCTGTGCACAAGCTGTCGACGCAGAACAGGAGAGCAGCTTTCGGGGATCATGGCTCGGTCACTCGGACGTAGCTACAAACCCCGGGCAGCCCTCAGGCCTGTTTTCGATCTGCAAATGTCAGCTGCGTAGCACGACGATCCTGACAAGAGGCGGAAGGGCTCAAGGTTCTCAGAACTTGCATCGGCCCCTCCCCCCTCCGGCTAGAAATAAAAACTTGAGCATCAGGACTCAATTGGCCCTGGTGCTTTTGGATCACTCTGTGGATCACTTGTAACCCCCTTTTTAGAACCCTTAGTGGACTGCTCGAGAGGTTGCAGTCCTTGTTCCTTCCTCCGCCGTGCCGACATCATCGACTCGTCCTCCACCAATCGCCATCGATGTCCCATCTTGTAGAACAGGTCATATTCTCTCTGACCCCCGCTCTTCGTCAGAGAGTTTGCCAGCTGAGCCTCGCTATGCACCCATCTCAGCTGCACTTTTGTAGCCATCTGTGACTCCTTCAGGGCCAGCAGTTCAATGCTAGTCCTCCTTTCCGCCCCTTTGATCACCAGCACCTCCGTCTCCAGCTTGTCGTATACATTTCTACTGTCCGTCACCACGCATCCCCGTACTTGACATACTGCATCATCTGGAGCATGAAGATCAGGTCGCCCTCGAAGCATTTCTTGCCACTGGAATCGCGTGGAATATAGACTGTCCTCGCCATTCACAGCTGCCTGGGCCTCTGCCGACCCCGGTGACCGGCAAGTCCGGTCGATCTTCTGTGAGTGCCACGATATCGGTGACACATCGCACACCTGGCCATCCATGATGTTTTCATCTGTAGCCCCAATGAAGATGCCCTGGGTCGATCCTCCATCCACTCTGTTGCCATTCGCCGCATCCACCCAGGCCACAAACATTAGCAAGGTCTCCGGCGTAAAGCTGTGGATCTTCATGCGGTAGGACTGCTTGGCCTTGGCGTGCGCGAGGAGCATGTTCGATCGGATGATCGTGTCGACGGTGCTCTTTGTTACCTCGGTTAAGAGTAACCCTACTTCTGCCGCAATGTACGGGGCGACTTGCTGAGCGTGCCAGCTCAGCCCTCCTAACAAGGCGCGTAGTTGTGATTTCTCTCGCTCTGTTGTGGGGTCTTCTTTGTTCTTTCTCCTACTTGCATTCACACCTATCTCGTGAACCCCGTCCAAGTAGCTAGGCTGAGAAAGTTCATAGCCTCCTTCAACCTCTTCAATCACAACGCCACACTGGGTGAATTTGGACTGTTCCCAATCACCCCACTTGAACTTCTCCCGAATGGCCTGAAGTTTAGACTCCCACAACTGGTCCCCGCTCTTTCCGGCAAACAGGAAATCATCGACGTGGCCGCTTATCAGGCCTCTGAGTTCCCCGTTCTCTCGGAGAGCCCAACAGCATGAATCAGACCACAATCGTTCAAAGCCGAGCTGTTGCAGGAACTCGTCCACTGATCTAAACCACTCCAGAGGAGCGTCGACCAGGCCGTAACAAGCCTTCTGTACTCGCGTGATGCTTCCCGGGCGAATTCCAAGAGCCTCGCAGATCTCCGGGCAGGGAACACAGTAGAGTTTGTCCGGGTAAGCCCGGCTCT